TTTCCCTTGACAATGGCGCCAAGATGTCGCCGAAACGTCGGATTTATCTATCGTTAGTTTTTGCCTGTATATGTTTATCTAAATCATTGTTGATTATTTTGTTTTCAACCGGCGTAAAATGTCCGTTGCAATTACATTAAAATATGGATAACTTCAAATTCATTTTTCTCTCGGATTGACGTCTTTTCAACCGTATTCAAAATCGTACCATGCTATGAGGTTTTTTGGTAACTTTATTTTGCCTTTATTATTCGAATGTTCAGGGAAACAAACTGTCTTTGTAGGCCTTATAACGGACTGCTTGCACTCAGTGAATTCACAGCTCACTGGTAGTGTTTGCAAAGCTACCATAAATAGCAGTAAGTCTGTTCAAGCATAACCACAAAGATCTCTTTCTGTAAATTTCCTTCGCCTGCAGTTCACATGTGCGATTCATTTCATGTTAACCTTGTAAGCCTAAAGGTCTGTTGAAACTTGACTTGTTTTAGGTTTAGCAAAGGACTGTAATGGTTTAGTGAATATCAATTATTACGTTACGTTTTACTATTGGTTACCTTGTTTTGTTCGCCCCAACATTTGCTGGATTCGTTACGCCATCAAAGAGCATCATTCCTAAGACGGCGAAAACGTAATACACCGCCTGCAAGGAAAAGGGGATGCCTTGCAAGTATTAAAATACCTCGTAACAAGTATCAGCAATTACTATGTGTGTACTATTAACGGCGTTGGGTCACACAATGTACTCGTAAAATTAGCCTACGTTTGCTTTCCATTTCCCGGCAAAAAAAAAAATAAAAGAAGGGGGAGGGCGTGGGGGCGAGGTGGGAACGCGTGCTTTTGAAAATGAACGCCTGCTACGCAGACTATCGTAGCTCCACTCACTCACTAGGAACCGATTACAATGAACGCTAACCAATCAGAGCGCAGACCTTGCCTTCACCAGCAATCAGGTAAAAAAACATCAAAATCACGCGATTTAACTCGCCTTATTTTCCTTTGCTTGCCCCGCACCTTTGCCACCAATTACACGACATTCTTTTATGTTCTGATTGGCTAATTGGGGCGGTGATTGGGTAATTTTTCTCCGTAGTAATAAACAGAGAGAAATATGCTTTCATTCATTCGTTAGAAAACATCAAACAAACAGTAGTCCAGCTTACCACAATAATGCCTCCAAAAGGCCGCAAGTGCTTCAGTAACTTCATCAATGTTTCAACAATGAGGGACAGAGACTGGCAAAACAAACAAAAGCCAGAAAGTCGTAAGCATCCGATACAGTGGTTCACACTACCAGAACTGATCTCAGTTTCCATAGCATGATGGGGCCCGGAGTATTTCTGCTCCCTCTACTACTACCCACCCAGTTTTTTGTGAAAATGCCTCAACCAAATCCACCTATGGCTGCTTAAAGAAGCTGCGTCACAGATTTCACATCTTGAAAAGTTTAGCCTAAATTTTTCAAGTTCGTCGTTTGTAATCCGTGTTAATCTTCTCCATCCTTAACCATCCTTGTTCCTTTATGGTTTATTATTATCTCTTTACTGTTTTCCTATTGTAGTAAAGTACTATTTTTAGGTTTCCTTCAATTTAAAGGTAATTTTGGACGCGACCAAAATACCGTGACTGAGCTACTTGAAACACTTGGCGGAGAGAGTTAGGTGTGCTTTCCCTAGAACACAACCCAAAGGGTACTGTCTAGGCCCTAACTCAGACTTGGTCTCTTCATCCGGAACCCAGCCCACTGACTTCTAGTCCACCACACTTTTCACCGATAAAAGTAACCGCCTTTGCACAAAACGTGATTTATAAACTGACAGTAGTAATGAAAACACAGGTTGTGAGGTCGTGAAGTAACTGCTCGTTAGGGACGGACCATTAATTTTTTGAGAGGGAGTGGGCTAGGAAATTTCCAAAAAAAAAAAAATCCTGCACAGCAAAAACAACTAAAAAAAACAACAAAAAACATGCAAGTGCTTTCTACTATTCAGGTCCTGTGTTTGACTATAAAAGGTTCTTGCACAAGCTATTACCCACCAAAATAATTCATGCACAACCGAAAGATGAGAACAAAACTCTATGCCCGACTCACACCCTCACCCCAGTCCGTCCCTTACCTTGAAATTAGGGACAATTCTCAACAGCCTGAAGATAATGAGCATGTTGATTATCCGTATCATGTTATGCAGAGAGAAACAACTGTCCATATCCTTGAAAGGGGGGTTACTACTTGAGCTGTGAAGAAAACAACAACAAACACATAACCTCAACAGTTTTAAAACTTCAAACCATCAATTCTCATCAGTCAACATTAATTTTCCTTTTCGTTGAGTTGACATTTCTTTTACGGTAACCTCGCAGAAATTATTTGATGGTACATTATAATTATATAATGATTCCCTATCCCCTTCTCGTATCTGCTTGATATGGACTCCAGATTGTTATCACGCATAAGGAGAAATAAACTGTTATTTATGGCAAACTGGCAGCCAATTAAAGGGCACTTTACATACCAAAAATATTTAATAGAGGGGAATGGTTATGAAGCCCAGCAAACATCAAAGGAGCAAACAAAGATGCCAAGAATTATGTCGGAAGGTCCCCGACCATGCACAATCTTTTGTTTTGCGGTCATACACCATGCTTGAATTACGTAACCAAAACGTTTCCATTGGTTAGTTCCACGGTCAGTGTGTTTTGTGCACGGTCAAGGCCAAAAAAGCGAACAAAAACATACAACAAAGAACTTTGTCGGGTTTCATAACCATTGCCCTCTATTAAGTGTGATACAAACGATCAGAGAACCCAGCGGCCAATCATAGCCTACGTTATGTATTCAGCATTTCGAACTCACTCGGACTGCATGAAACAAGTTTAACTTACTGTGAAAAAGGAAGGCCATACATGCCAACATGGACAATCTCTAGAAGCTGCAAGAAACACAGATATCTCAAGATAACCATGAAGTGAAAGTGATCTCTCCCCTCCTCCTACACCATCGCCCTTCCACTCGAAGAAGAGAGATCTGGTCACGAGAGTTGACCAACCTACACGATTGCTACCTCTTATACGCTAGGTGCCCAAATCTCAGTTGTTGAGTTGAGTTCTATTTTGAATGTTCTCACAAGTTACACACAACTTTTTTGGGCTCACTTGAACCTTGGACGTAATATATCAAACACGAAAGACCTGTCTGACCACATTTCCATACACCGAGGGGAGATTTGAAAATACTACACGTCGCGGAGTATTTTTGACGAACTTCGAGGTGTTTGGAAATGTGGTCAAACACTGTCTTGAGTGTTTGATATGTCTTCTCTACCGAAACTAAACTGAACTAAGGAGAAAACGGAGAAATAAAATCGTAGAAATCTGTATTTATTCAGATTAGATATTCGTCTTGATTTCCTTTGCTTAAACTTGATAAGGGCTTAAAGTTAGAAGTTTGTAAGAGACCATCGGACTAGCTCATATTCCGGCTACTATTAAAAGCAATAACTCCTATCGACCGAGAGAGTGGTTTGATAAACGAAAGATTTCAAGTTGTAGGTCTTGAAAAAGCTGACGGATTCCGATGGAAGATTTATCTGAAGTGCAGAAAACCGAAGGACGCTAAACCGCGGGTTGCCCACTTCGATACCTAGACGCTAAAAAAAAAACAAGCGTGTTACGTGTACGTTTAAAAACTAGTTACACGTTTGTTTTAAAAAGTCAATAAATGTAAAATTACTTCTGGGTCGGAGCCGTCGAAGATAGGAAGAAATCTTTGGCGCGCTCAAATTTTCTTTCCCTCGTGCCTCGAAAAGGACCAGCCTCGAAAAGGCCACGACAAAAATTCTTCAGCAGTATATACTCAAAGAAACATATGCACCATAACCAGCATGCGCTTGATGCAATAAAACTTATAATACATAATATAACTATACATACACACCACTAGTAAAAGTGTTATGATTCCACAGTAGATATTGCCCTGTGGAGAAAAATACTTTCAGTTATTATTAATTTGAAAATCTACTAGGGTTGTAGCACGAATGCCGTTCTCTTATTGGCTGCGCGCATCACTAGCTATTCTGTTGTAGACAGTGAGTGGCCTATCCTAATAACGTGTACTATCATTTGTATTAAGTAGTGTAATTTTAATAACGAGTCGGAGATACTAGCACTTCTGTATTCTATTCAAAAATCCGAGTTTAAATACAGATATTTATGTTTTGTATATGTATGAGTGTGCGATTGTTAACAAAATGGCGGCCGCTTCTTTGCGTTTTCGTAGTGTCTGTGAAGAGGATTTAGATAATTTACCAGTCGGGGCGATTCCAGAGACGACAAAATTATAGATTTATACTAAAACAGTTTAACTTTTCGCTCTCAATCCGCCGATTTTCACTTTAGGGTTGAAAGTAATTCGCATTTGCTTCAATGGTTTTGCATAACTACTGTATGCTACACGATTGGCTTAAAAAACTCGCGCCAATTTTTCATCCAATCAGAAGTAAACCAAAGCCAATCGTGACTCTGTACGGGTCCGCGAATGATCCCAGGACCGCAAATGATCCCGGACGGCAAATGATCCCCAAATTGGACCGCAAATGATCCCGGACCGGAAATGATCCCCATATTGGACCGCAAATGATCCCGATCAAAAAATATGGAATGGCATGGATGGCGGGATGGTGTGGATAGGGAATTGGCGTACGTAAATACCGATGTTTTTATTAAAGCCATCTTATAATTATACTGGCTTACAACTTGCTCTTTTTTTCATACTTTCGCCTAAATTTTGTTGCTAACTACGATGTTGTGAATATCACCACTCAATCATCAAAACACGACTTGGCTTGCATTTCTTTGCAATTCTCAGTAAAATTATGA